TCCGTGGCACAGGTTGGGGGGGGGGGGAGCGGGGGGGGGGGGGGGCACCAGACTGACTCCACCCATTGTCCCTGCTGTGTCACTTGCATTTAGGTTGTGTGTGGAAGAAGTGGGAATGAAACCACAGTACTAGTTCTGCTTCCTTACTATAACAGTGATCTGGGTAGTTCACATATGGGAGAAAGGAGATGCCTTTTTCTCCCCTTGGTCCCCTTGGCTGACAAGCACTGTCAGCAAGGGAACAATCTTGTTCTTTTTAATTTTAACAACTTACATGGAGTTGGTTCTCATTTGTTCTCAAAAGCAAACAAGTTCTTAGAAGGCAAATACAATCAGGACTCGTAGTAGAAATGATATATTTTATTAGACCAACAAGACTTTTGCAAAAAAAGTCTTTAATTGCAAGCTTTTGGGCACAAACACCCTTCATCAGGCATTAGAGAAAAGATTGTAAAAGTTCTCCTGGGTAGAAATGAAAGTTCATATTTCATAGGATTTCACAAAGGAGGCAATAGATGGAAAGCTCCTCTGGGCAGGCAGTTTTCCATCTATTGACTCCTCTGTGAAATCGTATGAAATATGAACTTTCATTTCTACCCAAGAGAACTTTTAAAATCTTTTCTCCAATGCCTGATGAAGGGTGTTAGTGCCTGAAAGCTTGCAATTAAAGAATTTTTTTGGTCAAAAATCTTGTTGATCTAATAAAAGATATCATCTCTACTACAAGTGCTGATTACCTTTTCCTCTAGACCAAATACAGCTACAACCTAGATAGAAGACATATATAACTTTGTCTGAAAAGTCAAATTTTGTATCTGACAATAATACAATACCAGAATAAAAATAAGACCTGTCCAAATTCTCAGCTAATGGAGGCTATATTTGGGAAAGCACCAGTAGCTATTATTGGCCCAATTAAAGAGAATTACAGAGTCTCTTAAATTCCCAGGAGATAAAATGCAGTTCTGCATTGAAAAGTGTCATCTATCACTGAGTCTTATCTCTATGATCTCTCAGAGATTTCCATACTGTATTTATTCATCTTAGAAATATACCTGCCAGCCCTGCAAACAGAACATAGGACATGAAAGTCAACTTGTTTTTTGTCCTTGCACAACACCACAAGATATACATTTTCACAAGCCAAAATTATTAGGTCCTCAATGAAATCTGATTCACATTTGTGTCTCCCAATTATGTCACCAGTGATGCCTGTGAAGTTTTTTATTTTTTTTTATTTTACTTTTTTTTTTAGTTATAGTTCTATTG